TCTCAGAACCCGGAGAGGCCCAGGGTTGCACCATATGTTCAGTGCTTCTTTTCTTTCCTCTGGGCCAATGCGCTGCAAGGAGAGTGCCTATTCCCCTCCCAATTCCTCCCCCAAGCTCCCATTTCCTACTCCTGTGAGGCTCACTCTGAAGAGAAAGACATCTTACATGTGTCCAGCACTACTTAACATGATGCATTGGTGAGCACACAAGTGGGATGTGACAGAAGAGGGTGCTTGGTGAACAAGAGCTCTTTCGGATCCTCCTGCCTCCTGTGACCACCCCCATTCCTATCCCCAGTCACACCAACCCAAACCTATGTTCTCTGCAATAGCAAGGCCTCATTCTCACCTCTGGGCAGCCTGCGGTCCTTGTCCCTGGCTGAAGACTAAAGAGGACTGAAGGAATGGAGGCCAGGGCCAGAGATGCTTCTTCCCTGGAAGCAGCATTTTTCTTGCGCCCAAGCAAGAGTCCCTGTGGCCTTTTAGGGCTCTTAAGAGAAGCACCTTTTGGGTTCCCACAAGGGGGTGACTAATTCCTCATCCTTTCTCCCCACCAACAAAAAATGGAGCAGAGAATAATTTTCAGTTCCCTGCAGTGGCCTCTAGGAGTGACTGCTATATCCTCTCTGGGGGCGTCTGAGCTGGGATGGAGAGTCCCGTGACTGAACAGGAGCCCTGACCCTGGGCGTCTCACACCCCTCAATCAAGGGGAAACACATCTCCTGGCTTGGTGGCAACCATAGCCATGGCTTGCTTCCATTCATTGCTGGGGTCTGCGTGTTTCCTAAACAAAGGAATGAACACACAAGACAACACAAGACAAGACAAACATGGCGGCCGCCTCGAATGGCGCGCTCTGCTTTATTTTATACAGTCCTTTGTGAAATCTTGCCAAGTCACAAGACACATTGTTGTTTTTCTGACCTTTCCCTGACTTTCTGGATTTTCAAGATGTTTACACATAAACAAGCCCCCAGGGTCTGCTGTTTGCAGCTGGCTCCTTTGTCCTCCCTGTTTACAGGGAAGGAACGCCCTGCTTTGTTTGCAAGAGCAGGACTTATCGGAATGTCTCGTTTGCGAGCACTTAGTCCTCTACATTCATTCACACCTTAGGTTAAACCCCATGGCTCTCCACCAGGTCCTGAGCTTCAACTTCTCTTCAATATGTCCATCCTGTCTGTCTTTAGAGTCTTCTCTCTCCACCCCAACTCTTCTTTGCCCTCCTTTCTCCATTTTTGTCTCTGCTCCTCTTTCCTCATCTTCCTGGTTCTCTTTCATTCTAATCTCCTTGCCATGTCCCATGAGAGGACTTTGATTATCTTCCTCCATGCCTGTCCCATCACTGAAAACACTATACCTGATCTTTTTTTCATATGATTGTTGGCCACATGTATGTCTTCTTTTGAAAAGTGTCTGTTTGTGTCCTTTGCCCACTCTTTATGGGGTTGTTGGTTTTCTTCTCGTACATTTGTTTAAGTTCCTTATAGATGTGGATATTAGATCTTTGTCAGATGCATAGTTTGGGAAAATTGTCTTCCATTCTGTAGGTTGTCTGTTTATTTTGTTGATAGTTTATTTTGTTGTGCAGGAGCTCTTTGAGATGCCATCACACACCTGTCAGAATGGCTATCACTAAAAAGTCAAAAAATAACAAATACTGGTGAGGTTGTGGAGAAAAAGAAACTCTTATACACTGTTGGTGGAGTGCAAATTAGTTCCACTATTAAGGAAGACAGTGTGGCAATTCCTCAAAGACCTAAAGACAGAAATACAATTTGAGCCAGCAATCCCATTATGGGTATATACCCAAAGGAATATAAATCATTCTATTATGAAGACATATACACGCATATGTTCACTGCAACACTATTCACAGTAGCAAAGACATGGAATCAACCTAAATGCCCATCAATGATAGAATGGATAAACAAAATGTGGGACATATACACCATGGAATACTATGCAACCATAAAAAAGAGAATGAGATTGTGTCCTTTGCAGGGACATGGGTGGAGCTGGAGGCTATTATCCTGAGCAAACTAACACAGAAACAGAAAACCAAATACCTTATGTTCTCACTTATAAGTGGGAGCTAAATGATGAGAACACATGGACATATGAAGGGGAACAACAGACACTGGGGCCTGTCAGAGGGTGGAGGGTGGGTAGAGGGAGAGGATCAAAAAAAATAACTAATGGGTAGTAGGCTTAATACCTGGGTGATGAAGTAATTTGTACAATAAAACCCCATGGCACAAGTTTGCTTATGTAACAAACCTACACATGCACCCCTGAATTTAAAATAAAAGTTAAAAAAAAAAGAAAACACTAGACCTGAAATCTGTTTCCCTTCACTCCCCTCTAGTAATGTCTAGACAGCAGAGCTAACATGCCTCTTAATTGAGATGAAGGTGCACTTTGGGAATCTTGACTCCCAGGACAGGTTTCTTTCTCCTCCTCCACCTAAATTCAAGACTCTTTACTACAATGTCATGACCATGTGTTGGGTTTTTCCTGTGTAAATATGATACCTGGCCCCAGGATACTTTGATGATAAAGATCTTGCAGTTTGGCAGGAAGAGCCCCAGGGCAGAGGCCATGCATGGAGACAGACCTGGGAAACAAGACCTAGGCCCAAGGGAATCAACTCCTGGAGGTCAAGATGCAACAGCTCAGATCTCTGGATGACATCAAGGGCTAACAGGAACAGAGCAGAGGCTGTGCTGGTGTCTGAGCTAAAGTCATACACCTGTACCAGGGGTTTTGGCAATTTAGCCTATGATGGGCTCCACTTGGAGACTCTTAAATGAACAGCAGAACAGCACTCAGCTCAGAGAATTGAGACCTTGTGAGAGAGACAAGGCATAGAATCTAAGATGTGTAAAGCCTATGTGCGGAGACCTGCCCAACTATGAGATATCTGGTTTTCCAAAGAAGCCTCCCAGAGAAAACAGGTACTGACATTGGGCTGGGGCTCTCATCCTCCCATTTGGATTATTCTTGGTATCCCATGAATATTCAAAATAACTTTTCTGATATTGTATATGGGAACAGGCAGTTGAGCTTCCATTCAATTGAGCTTCTCGGCCAAATCAACTTTCACACCTCCAATGCTATTATTAAAGCATTACTAAATGCCGTAATAATTAGCATTTATCAACTGCCTAATAAATGCCACATTTTAAAAATGTATCTAAATTTTTAGGTTAATTCTTACAAGATCCCTATGAATTAAAGAATAATATCATCCCCATTTAGCAGATGAGAAAATGCGGCAGGGATCTGTGGGGGGCGGTGGGCAGCAGAAAACCTCTGCTTTATGTAGTCATTTGAAGACCCTGGTCTTTCTGCATTATAGCCCCATAACACACAGCTGCTATGGTCACCCTGGAATCCTGAATCTTGCGGAAGATTCTACTGCCAGTCTTACATCATTTTCACTGGTCAGAACCCAATCACATGATCTCAACCTAACTGCAAGGGATGCTAGGCAATGTAGTCCAGTCATGTGGCTAGCAGGAAAATGAAAGGGGCTTGGTGAAAATTTGCTCTAGGTCCCAGACTTGGCAAATGATACCAGATTTTTTTCCTTCTAAGCCCACACTCTTAACTACTGTACTCTGTAAATTCTGATTGTTGAAAATTTCATATTAAACATGGTAATTTTGCTAGGATATTTCCCCAGTGACTCCTCTATGATAGACAACATAAGGTTGGCTATCCTGTGGTGTTCATATAGGGCACATTCATGTAAAATCCACGTGTTCCGCTGTTGCTGACTCCCTCTATTCTCAGTTTATATTTTCTTCTTATTCTGTATACTCATGGTTTTGTGGATACTCCTCTTCTAACATTGTCCTTTATCTCTCACCTATTTTGAAGACTCTCAGGTAATTTTATTGTTCCTTTCAGAGCACAGTATGGGTGCCTCATCTCAAAGATTCCACAGGATGATAGCTTACCAGGAGGCAGATGAAATGGAGAAAACACAGCTTATTTCTATCTGAAAATGAGAGCCTCTCATTGAGAAGGCTGCCCTCTATGTTGGCATGTCTTGTCTCATCTTGTATTAGTCCAGCTCTGCTCCTCAGTGATGACCCTCTCAGAAACATCCCCTTTCTAGGAGGTGTGGGTCCCTCATTATGGAACTATTAGGACTTTGTGGGTTACACACGAAACTCTGCCCCCAAAAGTTGAAGAAACCAGTAGCTTACAGAAATTCTTGAGGTTGTGGGATGGCAGATAAGAAAAGAAACAACTTGCTAAAGCACTGAAACTTTGCTTATGAGATAAAAGACCTGACTGAAATCAGCTGGAACTGGTATGGATGACTGGAGTTTGTATAGGACGAGCCTACTGACATCACAGCCTGAATTTTCACTGCATGTTTCATACTAACTTCCCCTGCAATTGCACATGAGTTAGTGCAAAAAGATAATTGTACATGCCCAAGGACTTTCCAGACCTCCCCTTTCCTTCCATCAATTACCTACTAATCTCGGAATCCACCCCGTGAACTTTTCCCAATAGAAACTAGCACAGGTTTGAGCTTCACTCCTGTCTCCTTGTGAGTCAACTTGCAGTATAAAGCTTTCCTTTTCTCAGAAACCCAGTGTCATAGTACTGGCTTCCAGCACATTGGACAGTGAGCCCGGTTTGCAGGATAACGTACATGGGCAACGTTCTCTCTCTCCTCTATTTCTTGCTGCCTCTGTTAGTCACAGTCTTTTCACTGCTGTAACAACCCCCAGCTGCCAGTGGTTTTCATCGTAAACATTTATTTATTCTTTGCATTACAATCCCAAGTGTGGGGGGCAGTGGGGAAACCTCTGCCTTATGTAGTCATTTGAAGATCCTGGTCTTCCTGCATTATGACCCCATAACACACAGCTGCTATGGTCACCCTGGAATCTGGAACCTTGCAGAAAGTTCTACTGCCAGGCTCACATCATTTTTATTGGCTGGAGCCCAGTCACATGACCCCAACTTAACTGCAAGGAATGCTGGGCAATATAGTCCAGTAGTGTGGCTAGCAGGAAAATTAAAGGGGTTTGGTGAATCCATTGCTCCTGCCATCACCAGACTAAAGACCTGCTGTCTCATCCAGTAATTATTATACTCCCTTGTCTCAATTAAGCATCTTTAGCCATGGATGGTTCATCTTATGGGTAGATGTGACTCCTTAGAGTAAGGATCAGTGGACCATGGCCTGTGAGCCAACTCCAAGCAGCTGCCTGTTTTTGTCAGGTCCAGCAGTCAGGGACTCAGTGGGCAAGCACTGTGGGCTGCAGACACCAAGCTCCACCCTGATTCCCCCTCCACTCCCAGAGGTTCCACCCAGCTGGCAGGCTCACAGCACTGCAGCCCAGCATCCGAAGTGGTGAGTAACATGGAAATAGCAGATGGGGTGGAGAAGTCAGGAGTTTTCTTTCTTGTACTTTTATTATATCCTCAGTTCTGCCTCTTCTTCCACAAAGTCTAACATATGCACCATCTGGTCCTCTATGGGAAAGTGTTTCTGCACTTCTATCCTACAGAGACAATTCCCACCTTTGGAAATTGGAAACTCTTACCTTTATTTTGTTGACTAGTTTCCCACCTTGAAGTTTGTCCTGAGGTAAAGTGTGGGAATGTCAGAGGCTTCTGTAGAAATCCCTAGTCCACTTTTACTGACAAATCAAATGAATAGTTTCAGTCCTGTTTGGGCACTATTGGTAACTGCCTGATTGAAACTGTGCTTCTATTAATCCAAGCTCCCTGGGACAAAAAACAAATCATATAATCAATGCAATTAATTTTAATTTTATCACACGCACATACAGCCATCTAACTACCAGAATAAATAATATTCATTGAAAGCATTCAGGAGTAGAAAAGGAGAAACACCCACAGCAAAATTTACATGGTTTAATTTAAATTTACCTAAAGACTAATTAGTTTCTCACATTTCTTAATGGTTGGAACAAAAAGAGGGAAGAAGGGGCAAAAAAATAATTGCTTCAGTTAATGTGTGAATAGTTGGTGTTTCATTTCAGAATGACTTGTACAAATTTAGGGGATTGTGAGAAATGGTAATATTAAAAAAATTGAGAAGGGAACCTTATCTTCATCCACACATTTGGAAATGCAGACTCCAGTTACTATTCTCATAATTATCACCAGTATTTAGTGTTTATCAGATCCCAGTGAAGGGACAGGCAAAAGAAAGAAGTCGCTCTTATAATAGTAACTACATGAAGTGTGGTATTTTATTGAGCCAGGTGAGTCTGAAGATATATACACACACATACACACACACACACACACACACACATATATATATATATTTCCCACTAGAAACTAACTATCTAACTATCTATCTATCTATCTATCTATCTATCTATCTATCTATCTATCTATCTATCTATCTATCTATCTATGTATCTATCCATCCATCCCTCCATCCCTCTGTCCATCTGTCCATCCAACTGTGCATCCATCTATCTATCTATCTATCTATCTATCTATCTATCTATCTATCTATCTATCTATCTATCTATCTATCTATCTATCCATCCATCCATCCCTCCCTCCATCCCTCTGTCCATCCAACTGTGCATCCATCTATCTATCTATCTATCTATCTATCTATCTATCTATCTATCTATCTATCTATCTATCATCTATCTATTTATCTATCTTTTCCAACCTGCAACAGGAAGGCTCAGTTGAAGGGCCTTTTGCAGATCAGATCAGGATAGAATCAACCCCAGTGTATGGTTCTTAGTTCATTTTCATCCCTCTCTCCTTTCTGTCCTTGTTTTCTTTTCTTTATTCTTTTAAAACAATTTAAAACACAGGCAGCCATGGGTTTGGTTGATCCTACTCCTTAGTTTATGGTCCTATCACGATTGTTCCTGCCAGGCCCTCTCATTTTCTCCCTTCTCTCATCTACCATTACCCCTTCCTTGCGGAGGTGCCCATGTGCTTGACGTATGCCCTTGTGTGGTATCTTTGAATCTTTGCATAGTGTATAATTACAGGTTGTGTATGCATGTGTTTTAAATTCACAAATATTGCACTGCGGTCTAGATCTATATTCCCCTTAGTATTATATTTTGAAGATCCTCTGTGCTTCTCTTGGCAGCTCTGGTTTATTGTTCCTTTTGGTTTCCATGAATGAGCTTCTGTTTCCTGCTCCTCTCTTTCCACCTACCCTCCCAGAGTGGTCCGTGTCCCAGTAGCAGCTCATTCCACTTTGTTAGTATGAGTTGTTGCCTTGAAGGGTGGCTTCAGTGCATAGAGAAGATTATCTGTGGCTCCTTGCCTTTTAAATTACTAATCAAAATATTCAAGTAAATAAAATGCCAAACTTAAGATTTTCCATAAGTCATTATGTTCAACTTACAAGTTTAATATTTTATTTGCAAATCTATTTCAATATTTATAAGGCGATTTTGAAAGCCTTAACTAAATTTCTTTAAATATTTTAAACAGTATTTGTAAATTGAATATATCCACTCTCTTGTAAAGCAATTCATATGCTATTTAATAAGCAAAACTATCTTAAGCATTTAAACAAGCCCAGAAATATAATAAATAAATGTTATTTTTACATTCTATTATTGTTTTTGTATTTAGATTAATTTCTTATACTTTTCAACTTAAAGACAAAAGTCAAAAATTGATTTCTAAATTGCATTTTAACTGGAAAAGAAAGATGAATCTGTAATCTAATAAGACAAATTGTCTTAACAATTACAAATGTTTTAAGTACCAAAAACTTCCCCAATTGCTTCTTACCTTAGCAAATAAATACAATATACAGATTTGATATAATTCATCATCTGTTTTGTTGATTCTAAATTTTCCTGAGCTTAAAGAGATACTAAGGAAATCATTTTAATATTTCCAGAAAATTGGAATTACTATCCCAGACATACTGGAATTTATTCTTCAAAAATTGTACAAGTTACCTCCTCAGTGGGATTCAATTAGCTAAAGATTAGAGATTTTCAGCTGGGAGCAGCTCTGGAGCAGCAGATACACTGGGTGATTTTTCTCACCCCATGGACTGCCTTGTTCGGCCTTTTCAAGTGTTTTATTTGTCCCTGTTTCAAAGCGCAATGATCTTACAGCCCAGCACCATGGATTCCAGTCCCACATTGCCCAGTTCTGATTGGAGTCAGACCTCCTGCTCAGTTGCTTTAGCCCTTGGTGAGACTGATGCATTAGCTACTGATTTTGTTCTGCATGTTTTCCATATTCTTCCTTCCTGGCAGGGACACTGATCTTCCAGACATTATGAGATACACACACATTGGCATTCTGCACACTTCTTGTGTTTCTGTCTGGCTCTTTCGTTTTAGGGACTAATGCTCTCAAGGACACACACCTTCCAGTATTCCTGCCTCAACGCTCAATCAATTGAATTGGCTCCGCTGAGGTCATCCTACTCCACCTTTACTGACAAATCAAATAAATATTTCAGTCCTGTTTGGGCACTGTTGATAATTGCCTGATTGAAACTGGACTTCTATTAATCCAGGCCCTCTGGGACAAAAAAATCATACAATTGATGCAATTAATTTTAATTTCGTTGCATGCACATATAGCCATATCATTACTAGAATAAAAAACAGTCATTCAGTGCATTCAGGAGTAGAAAATGAGGAACACTCACAACAAAATTGACGTGGTTTTGTTTAAATATACATAAAGACTTTGAAAAAACTTTTAGGCTTTTGAACATTCAGTACCAAATTCAGTTCCACAGTCATTAAATTTCCTTAGAGAAATTAAATGACATTTTAAAATGGCTGTTCTTGTCTTATTACTTAATAAATCCTAAATAATAGACAGAATACATAAAATGTCAGTTATTGTAAAACATATTACTATAGTTCCGTTTCAACATATTCTAAAACATCATACAATTGATATCATTAATTTTGTCACACATACATACAGCCATGTAATTAACAGAATAAGTAAAATTCTCTCTCTCTCTCACACCCACACACACACTTAGAGACACACACAAATGCCACATACTTATTTCAATAAAAATATGTTATTATAGTCTCCCTTTTGAATCCTTTTTTCCTTTGAATATAATTAACTCACCACCTTTCATTAACTCAACTTATTTCAATAATTCATTGCTGTGAGTTCTGTTTTTAACGCTTTGAACAACTGGGCTCCTAAAAGCCCTTTATTAAATTTCTCTGCTCCTTTAGCATTTCTTTTGAAATTTAAAATGCATTCTTGCTTTCCAGCAATGTCGGCAAGTTGGTACCACCTTCTGAATTTATTTTTGCCCCAAGACTTGGAACAAGTCAGTCTCCAATGAGTCCTGGATTCTTCCAGCTGAGTTAGTTTTAGAGACCAGGATCTCAGGATCCAATGGGCATTGACGGTTGTCCAATGGGTTGCTATTATTTTTTGGCAACGTTTAGATATTGATTTTGGTTAAAGGTTGACCTTGATAACTCAGATTTAAGATACTAGATTTATACCCAACTCTTCTTTATTTCTTGCGGTTTTCTCAGCCACCAGGCCTCTCTCTGACTTCAGCTGCCATCTCCTTACTCCGGCATGGTTCCCGGGCCTCTGCCTGCCTTCTGCATAAGCCTGTTCCCTGAGGGCTGTCTTGTTTTTTGGTTGATTAGTTGGTTGGTTGTTTTTTTATCTCAGCCAACTGGTCTTTTCAATCTATACACTCTCTTTTGATATCTCACCCACTTTTATACTTTTTTGTTTGTTTGTTCCAGGTACTGTCCCTAGGCTGATGACTGCCACATCTTTCCCTGGGTCAAAACGTTCCTCTGAGATTCAGATGTGTGTCAACAACTGGAGAGCAGGCTTGGAATTTAAAAATCAAGTTTTCAGTAAGTTGAGATGTTTTGCTTCACATACACAAATTATCACTTTGACAGAAATATTTTGCTTACTCAAACGTTTGTATTGCTAGAAAAAGAGATTTTTTTAAACCCCAGTAAAGTCAAGAAGAAAGAAAAGAAGGAAGGAAGGAAGGAAGCATTTAGTAGGATGACCCACTAAAACACCATTTCAATGCACTTTCCAATGAGAAAAATTGACACTGAAATTGTAGTATTTGGTTACAGAGGAAGCCACAGATCCAAATTCAAACTTGATAAAGTGTTTTTTGGGCAAACGACTTAAACTCTCTAATCTTCAGTTTTCTTTCCTACAAAGTGATGATGCTAACATATGTGAAGTTATAAAACAAGTATGAATAAACCTAACAAAACACCCGGCCCTTAGAAAGCATGCAACCCACCTTTGTTAAGGTAATTAGGGAATGAATTCATTGTTGACATACACCTAGAAAGTGGGTGTTACTGGACTAGAAGACCCTCTTCATTTGTTTTTGCTTTTTGTTTTTGTTTTAATTTTATTTCTCTTGCTCTATAGTTGGCTTTCTCTTTTTTTATTATTATACTTTAAGTCCTAGGGTACATGTGCACAATGTGCAGGTTTGTTACATATGTATACATGTGCCATGTTGGTGTGCTGCACCCATTAACTCGTCATTTACATTAGGTATATCTCCTAATGCTATCCCTCCCGCCTCCCCGCTCCTTACAACAGGCCCTGGTGTGTGATGTTCCCCTTCCTGTGTCCAAGTGTTCTCATTGTTCAATTCCCACCTATGAGTGAGAACACACAGTGTTTGGTTTTCTGTTCTTGTGATAGTTTGCTGAGAATGATGGTTTCCAGCTGCATCCATGTCCCTACAAAGGACATGAACTCGTCCTTTTTTATGGCTGCATAGTATTCCATTGTGTATGTGTGCCACAATTTCTTAATCCAGTCTGTCATTGATGGACATTTGGGTTGATTCCAAGTCTTTGCTATTGTGAATAGTGCCACAATAAACATACTCATGCATGTGTCTTTATAGCAGCATGATTTATAATCCTTTGGGTATATACCCAGTAATGGGACTGCTGGGTCCAATGGTATTTCTAGTTCTAGATCCTTGAGGAATTGTCACACTGGAAGACCCTTTTTATAACCGGATGTTGCTCTGATGAGTTTAAAGCCTTAAATGACCATTAAGAAAGATTGGTGATGAGATGTAATTAAATGTGAATGACATTTTTGATAGTCCAAAATGTAAAGGCTGCATTACTTATAATTTGCTCAAAACAGTACATTTAATCAGTGTACTTTAGCCCCTAAAATATTATAAATGCAAAAATATTTCTTTTATGTATGCTGACAAGGCTAAATATTAGAAAAATGGTTTTTAAAATCAGAGTTTACCCACACAATTAGTTTTTATTTTTATTTTTCATGATCACATAAATAATAGTCTGGGTACTACTAAGTGATTAAAATTAAAACTAGAACATCTCCATAATTAGACCCATTGTTCTGCCTTTCCACTGCTTTCCAGACCTTTAAAGGATACAGTTCTAGGAAAAATAGTAGGAAGCGCTAATTTTTCCAGTGAGTAGTGAATATATGAAAACATATTGTCTTTAAAGTTTGTACTGCTAAGGTTTGAATTTAGCAAAATAGGGATTTAGCTAAATGAATGAGGATATGCAAGGAAATGTCCATAAATGCATTTCAGAAAACATTTAAGAAGTCTGTTTCAAGAATGTTCTACTGGCGAGTCCTCAGCTTCTTGCTGTGACTGCAGTCTAAGGCTGTACTAGACACTGTCAACATGTCGAGATCCATGGAACATGTGATATTCATGGAATAATAGAAGTGAGTGTCAGATTTAAACTTCAATCAATAGCCAGTATCAATCCTCATGGATATTTCTGAGAAGAGAAAATTTCTACTTTCTCTGTGAGGACAATAAAAGGTCACCTTTCTCTGAATGAGAAAAAATAAATTTCCAGTGGGATTTTTGAATTTTCAGTGGAAAATTTTCAGTGGAAAATTCTGTATACCTCTTTCTGCTTGCTTTGACTTTGGCCATGTGGAAGAGAGATGAGGTAGCACTTCCAGGAGATCCGTCAATCAACATGTGGTAATGTTGCAGCTAAATGTGAAGCCTTGCACCAGTGTGTGTGTGGGGTTGTTGGGCGGGGGGCAGTTTGGCAAAAGCTCAGAGCGGGGCAGATGATACAAACGCCTGTGTCTCTGAGGGAAAAGGTACAGCAGGCAAATGTGAGCAGAGATTCTGGGTAGTACACCCCTGAGAGGCTTTCAATATTAAAGCAAATAAATAACAAAAAGGTTAAAATATATATTTTCTAACTTTAAAACCATAATAGAAAATGAAATTGAGGATTAGTAAAAAAAAAAAAAAAAGTACCAAATTTGACAAGGTTGTATTTTCATTGCCTTTCCCTTTTTGGAAAGCTTTCTCTGAACATAATATCGAACTTAAGGCTTAGCACTGTTAAGTTCATTTTTTAAAATGATAATTCTGTCACCTAAAATATTGAAAAGTAGCAAGACCTGGAAAAAAACTATATACAATGAGCACAAAATCTGGAGTCTGAGGATCTCCCATGTTGATTTAAGATTTGTTTCATAAAGAGTTGTTTAATGAGGCTAATTCCTCACCAGGGTCTTGGGCAAATTAAATAAGTTATCTGTGATGGAGTAAACACTCATGGATACATCGCAGTGCATATTGCTATTATTGACACAGAAAAATGCTAACACTGGCAGCAGATGGCTGTTGATTCTGGCTCTGCCACTAAGCACTTTGTCACCAGTTATAGTACAGTGTACTGTCGTTTCCTGTTCTCCCAGGAATGAGCCATCCATTGATGGGTTAAACTCCAAGAATAAATACAGATAAAACCAAGCTAATCTATTGTTGTATAACTACAAAATTAAATGAATTAAAGAGAAGCTCAAGCAACATGTGTAAACTTATCTCTTTTTTATCTCTTTTTGAGATGGAGTCTCACTCTGTTGCCCAGGCTGGAGTGCAGTGGCGTGATCTTAGCTCACTGCAACCTCTGCCTCTGGGTTCAAGCAGTTCTCTGTTTCAGCCTGCCAAGTAGCTGGGATTACAGGCACCCTCTACCATGCCCAGATTTTTTTTTTGTATTTTTAGTAGAGACGAGGTTTCACCATCTTGGCCAGACTGTGTAAACTTATCTTATTCTTCCCCAGTATCTGTCTATGCTCCTGGGAACTCAAAACCTAGACTAAGTTTAGTCTAGATAAACATGCCTTCTCTCTCGACTGGTGTACACAGAGCCTCTTGTACAGTTGTTCCTTGCAGAGTTAATAAGTGAATAACTTAAATATCTTTAATAAAAGTACTAGCTGATTTTTATTGATCACTTAGCATATGTCAGACACTGTTTTGCTATTGAGCAATGATTGTCTCATTGCATTAGCACAATAATTTTGGAGAGTGTAACAGAGTAGGCTCTATTCAGGCTATATACGGTAGCTACTGAGCATACTAATACAAAATAAATTAACAAGGGGTTAGGAAGCATTACCATATGCACTTTGTCTTTTACAGATTCTTAACACTTGAATTAAAAGGAGAATGGTCATTAAACAGAAACTGCTGCTAAAAGTGACAAGCAACTTAGCAATACACATGAGGAGCAAAGATTATAATTTATGCAGCATATTTTCATATACAGGCAAATCTGATACAGAAGGAAAAACAAATGGCTTGGAATAAAACAAAATCCTTAAAATGTGTAAGTCTCTGACCTCAGATAGAACTTCAGTATGAACCAGCTGCAGAGCAGCATCCTGGGGCCAGTGTGGTGGGGAGGTTCATTGTTGATTTGCTATTATTCTGTGGGTTGGGATGGATTTACATTTGTGCCTCATGAGGCAGGAACTGACTCACCAAAATAAAATAAAATAAAATAAAATAAAACAAAACAAAATAAAAATAAGCCAATTTGTATCCTTGTAAAAATGAGAGTGAGCATACCCAATAAGCGACACAGTCCTCATGGTATTTTATGACAACTAAGTATATATAAGTAGCTTAAATCTTCAGGCAACCCACAGGGAGCAGTGCTCTTGTTGGGGAGGAAAGTGAAAGAAGATACTTAGTGAAGGTGTGACCCTGCAACCTCTTACCCTCAGTGAGACCCCAGTCAGTGTGGACCACAAACCGCCTAGAGACATCTTGCCTGCTGGGAGGCCTATCAGCCGGTAGCCACAGCTGCCTCTTTACCTACTTTTCTGGCCATGAATCCAGAGGCCATAAATGAGTCTGGCACACTCCCTAGCTCCTTGTGTTATTTCTGGAAATCCAACTTTGCACCTGCCTCTCATGATTGACATCCTCCACCCAGGCAGCCGCAGTCTTCTGCTTGGGCCTTGGGTCTGCTACGATCTGAGTGGCAACCTCTTGACATGCCTCAAATTTCATGATGAGTAATCTTTTAGATTAAGTGTTGCCTCTTCTATTTTCTACTCTTCAGAAACAGTTAGATTGTTTCTTACCTAGTAAGATCTGTTGATCACTCATTATTTCTAGAAAACTTAACCTTTTAACAAGGGTTCCAATACCTACTTGAACCTCCTCTTCAGGCTGAGAACAGCTGAGAGCCAAACTCCCTTCAAGGAATTTCCACAGATGAAACGCCCTGCGTTTTATGTGGGAAAGTGGGACAATAAACACTCTTGGGAGAGCACGCTGCAGGCTGGCCTGACATCGAGGATATCAGCTTAATTAAAATCCATCTCTTATGTCTTACATTATGGCTTTCTGAGGTATTAAATGACTTGAGGTCCTCTAAAGACTTTCTTTCTTCACTGGTGTTTCTTCTCCCTCCTGTCTATGAAATTCTAATGGCGACATCCTATCCACCATCCATAGGAATTACAGATTTGCCTCTGACCTGAGCACAGACACCACTGCTGAAAGAGTTTAAGTGGGCAAAATGGGAAAATACCAATACAAAGCCATAAAGCAGTGGCTGAAATACCAAGTGGTTGATTTACTCTCCTCAAAGGACAGAGTATGGTTATGACACCAGGAGACCTTAAATGTGTAATTATGGCTCTAATCTTAGGCTTCCTAGTGTCAACTATCAGCTACCCCAGAAATACCGTCAGACAAACATGCTGATGAAGTAAAGCTGAGTTTGTTATAATAGCTGCAGCAAGAAAACCTCACCTTGATTGAGTGTTGGTAATCTCTCAAAAAGGGGGTGGTAAAGGAAGATATATGTCAGGTCCTGGTACAACAAATGACTGGTGATCTTCGACCTTGGAGGAAAACACTATTTCTGTAGAGTTTATGGAGCCATTTTGACCATGCGTAATTTTCATGCTTGTGCGGTTTTTAGAAGCACACAGCAGCATAAGGTGTGACCTTTCTGATTGTTCTACTTTGTCCAGGATGCTCCTTCTGTCAATTTCTTTCACAAGGAATAAAAGCATTTTTAGGCCGGGTACGGTGGCTCATGTCTGTAATCCCAGCACTTTGGGAGGCCGAGGTGGGTGGGTCACCTGAAGTCAGGACTTAAAGACCAGCCTGAACAACATGGTGAAATCCAGTCTCTACTAAAATACAAAAATTAGCCAGGTATGGTGGCTCATGCCTGTAATCCCAGCTACTCAGGAGGCTGAGGCGAGAGAATTGCTTGAACCTGGAAGGTAGAGGTTGCAGTGAGCCGAGATCGCACCACTGCACTCCAGCCTGGGCGATGAGCGAAACTCCGTCTCACACAGACAAAAACAAAAAAGAAAAACCAAAAAACAAAACAGTGTCTTTAATCTCATCCCACCAATGTAACATTAGGGTCCCCTTGTATTATTTATTCTTCTTGTGCCCTAGAAGAACTGTTTTTGTTTTCACAGCAGAAGATTAGAAAGGGAAACGCTTAAAGATCTTGTTAGTAGTGGGACTTCAGGCATCTTAAGAGAAGACTGCTCAGCTCACATACATACAAGACCTAAGCATCAAGCCAAGGCTGCAGGATGGAGGACACCAATCACAGGGCCATCTGCAAAAGGTGGCTTTGGTGGATTAATTGATTGGAAGTGGCTCTTTCCATTCCCCCGTTCCTTATTTATCTTTCTCCCACAGATGTGTGAAAGAAATACATTTCTCCATAAGATTTTCTCAAGCAGAGAACTGGCTGTCTCCAATTTCTCCAGGGACATGTTCTTTTGCTATTATTCTGCACTTACACGGAAGCATGACTCTTTTCTATTGGAAAATTCACAGGGCCATATACAAGTAAAACAAACAATTTTGAATTCAAAAAACCCCTTAGAGTGAATCTTAGAAGCATAAACAAACCTTTTCCGTTTGTTTTACTTGTATATGGGCCTCTATTTATATATGTTTGTTGTTTACAACAAACAGATCTTCAGAGTAATATAACTTTTGGATTCTGACGGCCGTCTACCCAAAAAAAGTGGGGGCTTTGGGATGCAGCATTGTGTGCAGTGTCAGAGGCTAAGTCGATACATTCAGAATCAGAATTTTCTCTCCTGTTTCTTATGGCTACCGGCTCTTCATAAAAGAGCCCCAGCTGAGAATCGGGTTATCTTTAGGGCTCTCGACACGAGAGGAAAGGAGGGTGGTGAAGGTAGGGGCTGACATTTTTACTTGTCTACCCATCTGGGAATTTTCTTGCTGATAGAATCCTTACGTGAAGGCAGTCCAACATGCCCACCCACAATACATGGATTCTGATTGGCCACAGCCCATCTGCAGTACATAGATTCTGATTGGTCACAGCCCACCCACAGTACATAGATTGTGATTGGCCACAGCCCACCCACAGTACATAGATTCTGATTGGCCACAGTCCACCCACAGTACATAGATTCTGATTGGCCACAGCCCACCCACAGTACATAGATTCTGATTGGCCACAGCTGAAAATCATGGCCGTCAAGCTCCCGTTTAGCAGACACTGGTTTTCGTGGCCTCTCTTCAGTCAGAGGGGGAGTGTCTGCTGGAGAAACCCCTAAGCTGAAAGCGCTTTGTCACCTTCTTCCTTCCTGCTTGGGACACACATGTAATGCTTGGCACTGCTCCCGCCATCTAGTCACCATGAGATGACAGCCAAGAGGAGAAAAAGCCAAAACGGAGAGGATGACAGTGAAGAAAGAGGAAAAGTGGTTAAACCTGACGTGACATCATGGAAATCTGAACAAAGGCACAGAACCACAGATTTCCCAATTCTTGCGAAAGAAGCAATTCATATTCCTTCTGGGTGAAGCTGCTACTGGTTGGGTATTGATCCTATTAGAGCTGAAGCATCCTAAGTAATACAGGTACTATTTTACCTTCATCTTATTTTAACTATGCAAGCAATATTTAATAATTGGCCAAAACATAAAAAGGATAAAAAGAAAACGCCAATCACCTCTAATCTCATAATGTTTAAGTATTACATCATTTCTATTCTGATTGTTCACAATTTATGTTTTATTAATCCTCTTCTCCATGACAAAGCAGGAAATGTGCTTAATCTCTGGCCCAACTCCTCAATTCCTCTCTTCTCCAAATTCTCAAACTTCAAAATTAGAAAGCACATCACCTTAAAACAAACCCAACAGCCTAACTTTTAAAATCCTCATCTGATGGATGTTACCCAGCATGGTGCTATGCGGGGGTCTGTCCCGCAGACCCTGACCCAACGACGGATGAATGAAGTAGGCTGACACACAGATATTTTGTTTTGCGAGTTCGGCTGAGTGTCTGAGCTGCTTACAGACTCCAAGCAGAGTTCTGTAAACAGTTGGGACAGCAGCCTCGACTTGCCAGCGAGACTCGCATTTATTCAATAAAGATTAATTGACAAAGGCTTGAGTCAACACCACTAGAGGGTAATTGACATTGTGGACTTCCAGAGTAGAAAGCAATTAAGCACCCACAGTAGATCAAAGGTTAGTCTTAGGACCACATGAGTAAACAATCTAGATGGATAACTTCCCACATTCCTTTGTTACTACTGTAATTTATTTAACTAAAGGTAAAGTGAACAGGCCACCTGCAGCCAGGTCTATAACCAAAGTTATGCAAACTCTCAGGCCTTCCAAGAGGGTTTGTGGCTATTATAAGCAATATTTTTCCCACCAACCTGACTGAACTCCCACAGTGCTAATGTTCTGATAGTGTCCAGCACCCAGAGGCCACGCAGTAGCTGTTTGCAGATTGATTAAGTAGCACATTGGATTGTCAGTTGTTTCTAAGAGTAAGGCTGGAGTTTGCTTACACTTACAGAAAGTCACCTCTTTGTTTATCTCTTGAGTTGCTAGCACAGTCTCTTTAGAGGGTTGGCATGCTGAAAGGACCACAGTTTAATAGCCAGATAATCCAGTCACACTGACAGGCAAACCTTCAGAAAGACAAAAATCTCCAGAGTTAGCTCTGAATAGCAATTAATGCCCATGCAGGAGGCTTTTCAGAGACCCATGAACTACACAAAGGAATGAGGCTCTGTGCTGCTAGGAGGGTGCTTTCTCATCAATACCACAATAATCAGGTGGCCTTGCCAGGAAGTTGACATATACACTGATGTAACTGGGAATGTTTGATTTTTAAAAAAACATATAAACAAACACAGAAGAATTAAAAAGGAATTTTAAAGAATTGCCTTCGAGATGCTTCAAGATGCTTTTGATGACAATCAAAGTCAAAATATTTTACTACCAAAAGACATCCAATCCTTTCAATATAAATTCACTGATCCTGTATGATCAAGCCACACCCTATG